CCAACTTCCCATCGCTATTGACGTGCCAAGCCGTTATATGGAGGTGTGAAATCTTGTTAAGCCGCAAAATGACCAGCAAAAGTTTGCAGAGACCACCTGTCAACTCTTGTAAATTCATGATGAAATTCATTACATGAACACACAAGTAAGAGTTACAGGCTTCACCAAGCTGAAGCTTGTAGACCGGAATTAGTAAACGAACGAAGTGCAAAATACCCCCCCCCCGTCGCCGAACTGTTCGTCGACGTCTTCTGAATATCCCTTGCCGTTTTTTTCATTTGAATATATTCAGACCTCACCTGAAAACCCACTTGTCGCCGCCTATTTAGCCCGGCAAGCTGAAGCATTGGAAGCTCAGCGAAAAGAAGCAGGTATGTTTATAAGCGATTGACAAAGCAGATATATGGATGATCCTGGTGGAATCGTAGTCATATCCAGCAGGGTGACGAGTAGGGTGGAGCCACTGTGGAGCCGCAGAATTGAAATGTGCGCCAAGCGGAAGCATTAATATCGATTTGGCTAATTGAGAGAACAATAGAGAAGAAGAAAGCAAGAATGAAAAGAATGCTTCCCAAAAAACTACACAGGAATCGATCGAGTCCGACCGCTAGCGAGTGTGGAGTGTTACCGAGTCGTGGCATTGGGTTACGGGGCAGATGTCAACCAGACGATCTCTCGCTGCGAGGGTCCAGGGCTAATTTCACGGGGCATCTACCAGTCCAGCAGTTGAAGGGGAAGGTAAAGGAGGAGGGATCAGAGAAGGAAGGAAGAAAAAGAAGGAAGGAGGGAGAAAAAAGGAAGGAGGGGAGAAGCTTTCCGGTTGACATGTGCCCTGAGACGGTGGCATTGCGGCAGAATCGCAGGGTGTTCTCCAGCTACTGACTTGAGCGACACAGAGACAGTCGACGCGCTGCAACACAGCCACGATGAGTTAACTGGGTCCTGCAGCGAATACTGCGCAGCCTGCTTGTAAATAGCACGTCTTTCGCTGCGACTTGGAAATAACGCTTCTCTTCCGCTAGCAACTAGAGTCTATCAATTTCTGTGTACACCTTCGGCGCGCATCCTTCTGATCGTGCTCTCTTCTGTTCACCCAGATAGCCAGATTGATACGCATGCCTTCGCTTGACTCACGTCCCACTATTCTCGAATTCTCATCGTATCGGCAGCAGCACAGTGAGGAGTGGTCATCGTTCTGACAGTCCGGGAGATAAGGAGAAGGGGGATTTGACGGTTCAGAAGTTGCGCGCTAAAGGAACAGGCAGAAATCGATCAATCCCGGTCACTGGACTTTTTCCAATTCGCCAAGTCTTCAGTTCTATCGAGTCGCCAGG